ACGTTATATGGAAAGCTTCAAGACTTTGTGTTTTATCCTTACACAGGATCATGCCAATCTTTTCTGTATAGCTCCAATTTTAATATGTGTACTGCCGAAACGAGTACAACTAAATAACCATTTACTAAGCATAGCTTATATGTGACACAAGACCGAAAGAATAGAACACCTAATGACGACTGAACTCATTACTCAGTCGTAAGTGACCTAGCGGAACAAGTATGTGTCGGAGTTAACTCCTCCTTCAGTCCGTTAACCCTTTCACCAGGGGTCTCTCTTCCCTGGCTATAAATAGCCGCTGACCCTTCACCTCTATATCTTTTTCCTTCAGGCCTGTGCACTGACACCTTGAGGTAAATCGCTCTTTTTCCTTCAGGATTTCAGCTATCAACCTCGAAATGTAGGCGCTAACAAAGGATTAGCGTGGAAACACGCTAAGCACAATACACACGCACGTACGCACATACAGAATATTCACACACGCACGCACATACAGAATATTCACACACACTTCGTCCTTTGTACTGTTTCCATGTATTGTAACTTGTTATTAATATATATTTGTATATAGATATATTATCGGTCTTGTGTTTTGTTTGCTTTCTTTGCCTTCTTCTTTGGACTTAATCAAAGTCCAACCTTTTTATGTAGTTGGGCCCGGCGGGCAGGAGTATCTGAACCTTACATGCGTTTCTTCTACGTCTGATTTCTATCAACAACATAACAGCCACGGCCCCTCTACATATGTTAACATTTACACTACAACGATGTTCTCAACCCATTTTAATATTCATCGTTTTCAAAAACTTGCATAAATAAATTCTTTTTCTTTTTCGATGTACCATATCCATTCAGGAGGTTTGCGATCATGGCTCTCCACATTTTCTCTCCCTTATAGCTCTTAATAACATTTGTCTTTTTGCCATCTGTTCCAAACCCTGATCAGCCATCTATTTACTTATATTCGCGAGGACAGCCATACGTTGCTTTCATCTCTCTTACCTTCAATATGTCCTGTGAGTATCAAATTTTCCAAGCTCTCTTTCCTAATTGTGTGTGAGAAATTTCAACTATCTCTTCATGATGTTAAGTATGTGTCCTTTTTGTTGTTTCTAGAACTTCGTGTTTGCTAACATGTTCGGTTCATGGTAATCTCAGCATCTTTCTGTAGAACCATTTTTCTGTTATTTCAAGTCTCTTCATAGTGTCCAGCATTTACTGCCATATAGGTCGACTGATTTTACATAACAGTTCAGTATTCTTTTTTTTGTTCGTAACGATTTTTTTCCGTTCTTAATACTTTGCTTTTAGAAGGCATCTTTCGCTATACATGTGAAAAATTCGGATTTCAACTTTCCATCCTCTGTCAATACGTTCTCCAGATATCTAAAGTGTTGCACTTATTTTATATCAGTATCTCCAATTTGTATTCATAATCTTCTTCTTCTATGTACCGTGTCCCTTCAGGATGTTGGCGATCATGACTCTCCACAACGTCTTGACATTGTAGCTTTTAATAAATTGTCTTTATATCTCTCTTAAACCAAATTCATATTCCCCTATTTATTTTGATATTTATATTTGTTTTTACCCGTTTTAAATGCAAAACAGTAAAACCGAAATTACACAATTGATGAATTTACACATTGATTAATTTATATGATACAAGGCCCAAGTGCCACTCAAAGTAGATGGTTACTGAATGAGGTGTTATAAGTGTAAGTAAGTTTACATTATAAGGATAAGTAGGGTAGATAGCTATTGACTATTGTAGAGCTTAAAATTGTAGCAAAGGAATTCATGCAGAGGTCTGTTTTATAATGTAGAGATCCTCGGAAATACGCTGAGTGGAACTTCCTTTTTTACCAGTGGAATATGAAGGGGATGAGGATGTTTCGATCTTGTGTATGTGGCATGACAGGTCTGAATTGATAGAACTAAATAATGTCGCTGGGGTGAACATTTGCTGTGAAAATGGCGATAGAATAGCCAAAAGCTTACAAAGTTTCGTCTGTAGGAAATGGGTTGTTGGGTGGAAAATGGTTTCTCACCTATAAGGCTGCATAAACGCTTTTGAACTCTGTCAAGATTAGAAATTAACTGGGGAAAATTTAGGGTCCTCTCGGTGATGATGAAACGTTACGACAGGGTGCCCAGTAAAAAAAGCGGAAAATTTATTTTTATTTATATTATTTTGTTTTATCTTTCAGAAATAATTGACCTTGAATAACCTTGAATAATTTTCTAGAATATTCATGACCTTGAATAATCATTCGACTCTCGCGTAATTACTTAACTCTGATTGGTTCTTTTGATTGATTATCTGCTGCTTGATCTTGTGACTTGTCATTTAAAGGTTACTTGTAAACGACTTTCGTCATGCCCTTTTTGTTTGGTTGCACAACTCATTGATTTTGAGCGTCAAGTTATCGTACTAAGTGTTGACTTCAATGTTCACTTATATATATATATATATATATATATATATATATATATATTTTTTTTTTTTTTTTCGGTGAAGTGAAGAATCGATTTAACGCTTTCAGTGAAGCCAGTTTCTGGGGAAAAAAATTCGCTCTTACGATTGCTTTCTGTTTAGGCAGCCTGGCCTATTTTATCTATTAACGATTCTGTAAGAGTTATTAAAGCTAGAAGTCAAAAAGGCATTTACATTCGTCAATATAAAAATAAACAGAAACGGATTCTATGACATTCAAGAAAGAAGAGTAAAATATTTGTAATGAAAGTTTTGAAATATTTGGATATATATAAGCAAATGAAAATAAAAGAAAATATTGCTTAAAAGAGGACGTGCGATAGAAAAATAAGAAAGAATTAAAGAGAGAGAGAGAGAGAGAGAGAGAGAGGGGGGTTGTGTGCGTGTTTTTAAAGAAAGAAAGTTTCAGTCTGAATTTCTGGGAGGAGGCGTTAACATTATTTACACTATTTATATTGGTACTATTGTCCTCATCATTTTGTCATCACAACGTTTCGGCTGTTGTGAACTCCGGCCTTCCTCGGGTGTACATCGATCTGGGTAACCTACAGGGAATTATGAAAACCCCTAATTTAATCTACGCGGTTAGACTGTCCCCGTTCCACTGTTCTTGGGATATCATCTAGTACTTATTATTTTTTTTTTTTTATTTCTCACCAGTTTCCACTGAGTGTAAGTACACAATGTCCGACCCAGGGACTGAACTCAGAAACACTATGTCACAAAATTAACAAACCAACCCTTTTAGCCAGGTATGACAATTTACTCTAGTGAACTAGAAACTTCAAACCAAAACTGGTTACTTATTAAGATGCAACTGCTGCTGCCTGGTATGTTCCGAATTATGTTTTGATTGCTGCTACTGCGATTGAAGATTTGCTATCATTTGTCTTTCTTTGAGGAAACCATAGACAAAATGGTGGAAAGTGTAAAATGAAGACGATTAAATAAAGGGTTCAGTTCTAATTTCCCTTTACGGTTACTCAGATTGATATACACCTGATGAAGGCCAGAGGGCAAAACAGCAGAAACTTTGTGATAAGAACAATAAAGGTGAGCAGAAAAATCCAATATAAATAATGTAAAGTAAGAAAGAAATAACGCGTAGGAAACGAAAAAATATGGTGAAAATAGAAAAAATGAAAATGAAGGAAGTGATCAGAAAGAAAGAAAGGACGTGAAGAAATATCAGACAAAATTGTGAAACGAGAAAAAATGAAGACGAAAAAAGTGATAAGAAAGAAAAAAAAGAAAGAACGGGCGTGGAGAAACAAATAGATAAAGTGGTGAAACAAGAAAAAATAAAGACGAAGGAAGTGATGAGAAAAAGGAAAGCAAGCAAGAAAGAAAGAAAGTACGTGAAGAAATAATAGACAAAATTGTGAAACGAGAAAAAATGAAGACGAAAGAAGTGATAAGAAAGAAAAAAGGGAAAGACGTGGAGACATAATGGAAAAAATGGTGAAGCGAGAAAATGAAGACGAAGAAGAACGAAAGAAAGAAGCAATAGATGAAATGGTGAAATGTGAAAAAATGTAGTCCAAGGAAGGGATAAGAAAGAAAGAAAGAAAGAAAGAAAGTAAGAAAGAAAGAAAGAAAGAAAGAAAGAAAGAATGTAGAGAAATAACAGACAAGATGGTTAAACGAAAAGAATGAAGACGAAGGGAATGATGAGGAAGAAAAAAAGAATCGAAGAAAAGATTTAAAAACAATAGCGTGAAATGATAAGAAAGAAAGAAAGAAAGAATGAAAAAAGAAAGAAAGAACGTGAAGAAAAAATAGACAAAATGGTGAAACGAGGAAAAAATGAAGACGAAGGATTTGATAAGAAAGAAAGAAAGAAAGAAAGAAAGAAAAAAAGAAAGAAAGGACGTGGAGAAATAATAGACAAAATGGTGAAATGAGAAAAACGTAGAGGAAGGGAGAGAATGGAAACAAAGAATGAAAAAAATGAGAGAAAGTGAAAAAAACAATCGATAAAATGGTGAAATGTGAAAAAAATGTAGAAACGAGAAAAAATGAATACAAAGTAAGTGAAATGAAAGAAAGTAAGGAAGGTCGTGGAGAAATAATAGACAAAATGATAAAACGATAAAAAAAAAGACGAAGGAAGTAACTAGAAAGAATAAAACAATGAAAGAAAGGTGAAGAAATAATAGACAAAATGGTGAAACGAGAAAAATGAAAACAAAGGCAATAATAAGAAAGAAAAAAGAAAAAAAGGACGTGGAGAAACAAAAGAAATAATGGTGAAACGAGAAAAACGTAGAGAAAGGAAGTGATAAGATAGAAAGAAAGAAAGAAAGAAAGAAATGACGTGAAGAAACAATAGAGAAAATGGTGAAACAAGAAAAAATGAGGACGAAGGAATGAATAGAAAAAAAGAATGAAACAATGAAAGAAAGATGAAGAAACTATATGGAAGTGATAAGAAAGAAAGAAAGAAGGAAAGGACATGAAGAAAAATAGGCAAAATAGTGAAACGAGAAAGGACGTGAAAAAACTATAGAGTTAATGGTGAAACGAGGAAAAATGAAGACGAAGAAAGTGATAAGTAAAAAAGAAAGAAAGAATGAAAAGACATGTAGAAATGATAGACAAAATGGTAAAACGATAAAAATTGATGACGAGAGGAGTGAATAGAAAGAAAGAATAAAAGAATGAAAGAAAGAAATTGAAGAAAACATAGATAAAATGGTGAAATGCGAAAAAATGAAGACGAAGGAATCGATGGGAAAGAAAGAAAAGAGGTAAAGAAATAATAGACAAAATCGTGAAACTAGAAAAAAATGAAGACGAATTAAGTGATAAGAACAAAAGAAAGAAAGGACGTCGACGAAATAATAAACCAAATAGCGAAAGAAGAAAAATAAAGACGGAGGAAGGGAGAAAGAAAGGAAGGAAGAAAGAAAGAAAAGAAAGAAAGAAAAGAAAAGAAAACAAGAAAGAAAGAAAGAAAGAAAAAAAGAAAAAAAAAAAACAATAGGCAAAATGGTGAACCGAAAAAATGATTACGAAGTGAGTGACTAGAAAGAAAGTATGAAAGAATTAAAGAAAGTATGTGAAGAAACAATAGACAGAATGGCGATAAGAAAAAAAAGAAGAAGAAGAAGGAAGTGATAAAAAAGAAAGAATGAACGTGAAGAAATAATAAACAAAATTGTGCAAACGTAAAAATAAGGACGAAGAAAATGATTAGAAAGAAAGAACTTTGTATTGTGGGATGATTACTTTTATGGTCAGTGTGATAAACAGAGAGAGAGAGAGAGAGAGAGAGAGAGAGAGAGAGAGAGAGGGGAGGGGATAGATAGAATATCAAGAATGGGCGTATACGCGAGCTCATCTGGGCGGAGTTCAAAGATAATAAAGAAAAAAAAATAATTTAATTTGTATAAAAGCGTACCTTTGATTGACTGCCGACCGCAGAGACCAATAATCAATGATCCTGTTTTCCCCAAGTCTAGACACTATTTATTAAGAAAAAAAATTCTCCAAGATGATCACTCCTTTCAAAGCTTCCCAGAACAATCTTTCATTGAAAGCACAGGTATAAAAAGACGCGTCCACTCGAAAATTAACACAAGCGCCATAACATTGAAGCTACCACCACGAAAACCCAAAGTAGACAAAGTACTGCTTTATAAACTCGCGCACATCTTGTATTATTTTTTAAGGAACTTATTTTATAATATATAATTTATTACTTTTGTAATATTATGTATCTTAATTACTTCCAACAATATTTTTTAATCATACAACACCATTAAGACGCTAGAAGTTTCTAGACTTTGGAGAAGAGAAAGGACAATAAAATAACAGGTTTCAAGAAGACAGAAGATGGTTGCATTTAAATGTTTGAAGATCGTATATGGCAGGGAAGCAAGAAACCGAAAGATAATTCCACAAGCAGAGGAAATATGAGCAAAAAAACCATTAGAATAGACCTTACGATTGCATCAAGCTATTTCGATAGCAAAACGAGGAGACCTAGTTGCCAATCTATGAGTACGCTTAAATTCATGCGGTCGAAGTACCGAGGAGGAGAGGTGATAAGAACAATTGTCATAAAAAATATCTATAGAAAAGACAGAGGGAAGCCACAACAGTGGCGGGAATTTGACTGAATCGAGCTGCCCGGTCAGGACCGATAACATTGCATAACCTTTGGATTTTGTCTAGATTCTCGAGAAATATAGCAGGAGCATCAGGCCAGATATGGTAGCAATATTCAATGAACGGATAAATGGTAGATTTATAAATGTATGAGATGGATTCTGGGGAGAAAAAACTGAAACGACACAGTGAACCAACTTATCTGGCAGTAGACATTTAATAACATCACTCGACATGATGTCCATGTAAAACGTGAGATCAAGAATATGCAATGAGTTGCTCTTCTGGAAATTAGCATTGGCCATGCTGATGGAAGGTAAAAGTTTTCTATTATGATTAAAAGATAGCTGTTTCGTTTTGGGAAGCGTTAAAATTTACAATCCATTTCTTGGCCCAGTTAAAACTGATTGGGGACCATTTTCGAGAGCATTTGCTAGTTTTTTCTTTGACGTGTCTATTGGGATTACTATTAAGACAGTAGTAAATAGTTGTGTCATCAGCATAAATATCTAATTGAGAACTGATGCCATCGAGAAGGTCGTAGATGAAGACGAGAAACAACGTAGTTTCAAGGATAGAGTCATAGAGGACCACCGTATTAATGTCAAATGACGTAGAAGCGTGGCCGTTCAAGATGATTTTCATTACCATGGTGCATACATTTGAGTTTAAGACGCAAAAGAAGGACATCTTTTAGTTATCAATTTTGATAATCTTACTACTCTTTGTCTTTTGAGTATTCTCTTTTCTCTCGCTCTTTCTCTCTTAATGCGATCATAGTACTCCACAGCTTCCTGTTTTTTGGTCTCATTACTTCTTTATAAATTGATAACCCTTCTTTGTAATTGTTTCTCCATCCATTTGCTCATAGTTGTCAAATAGGTTCTCACTATCTCTTCGGTGCACCATATTCATTCAGGATGTAGGTGATCATGGCTCGCCACAGCTTCCCGTCTTTTGTTGCTCTCAGCATTACATTGTGTGTTAGATTCTTCAAGTTTTCTTTCCTCGTTATATGCCTCGAACATTTCAGCTGTCTCTTTCTGATTATAAGTAACAATTGTTTTTATCATTCCTATTCAAATTTTATTAACCTCTATAAAAGACAGGAATTTGTGGACAGCCATGATCGTCAGTGTCCCGAAAGGACACGGCACATAGAAGAGGATTATACTGAAGTTTATTTGTTTCTTGCATAATCTCTTAATGCAATTCTCAGCATTCTTCGACAGAACTCGATCTCTGTATTCTCAAGTCTCTCTACCTCTTTTCTCTCTTCATCTGTGACGATGTTGTTCCGCATTCATTGCCATATAGGACATTAATCATTACGTTATGTGATTACCTCACAGGGGACTTCTGCAAGCGGTCGCTAGGTGGCACTGAATAAAGCAGTATATAAAGAAAGGAGTGTATGGTCATTCTCTTTTTCTTCCCAGTATGCTATAGAGTGTTTCGTTTCCCTCCGTGGGACTTCTTTGTCACTAGCGAACCACGTGTCGCGTGGGACACAACAGGGAATATAAATGCTCTAAACTGATAATTGTAGCAAAACAACACGTCTCTCATAATCTTCGATAAGACTTTACACACACAATAGGTATGAATAAAGATATTTTTATATATGCACGTCTCTTAATATATTTATATTTTACCTATTTAGTTTGTTAAGGCAATAAGATGTTATATGTTCGTAACATACATTTTTTTAATGCTGTGAGATGAGTCGTCAGTGTTGTTTTTCCTGGTTTCGTTAATTTCCGGGTTTTTCAACATCGGACTCTTTCCGCCAAGGTAACCCCGCTTGTGCGGATTAAGTACTCTTTTTTTATCTACGTATTTTATCTACGTATTTTTCGGGCATACTTGCTTCTCGGCCTTTTGACTCCGAGTGGTTCATAGGTAGGGGCCTCCCCCCTACCCATTATGCAGTACTGCTTCTTCGGGAATGGCCTAGGTTTATTGTCCGGCGCCTGAGAGTGCCCCAAAAGGGGAATTGTCGAGGTGGTTTGGGCAATTTTTCCACTTTAAACTAACCTTGTGTCACATTCTTTAGCGACATGGGCACGCTGAAAAATACCTTCGAACATGCTTGCTTCTCGACCTTTTGGCGCAGGGAGGTTCAAATGATATTAAGACCAAGCCCTAGATGACCTTTCCCCAGTCAGTACTTCACCGGGAGGGGTTTGGATTTATTGCCCGGTGCCTGTAGCATCCCCCAAAATGGTATGTTCCGAGGCGCCTGGGAAATTTTTTCACGGTTATGACTTTAGACAGACCTTGTGTCACATTCTATAGCGACGTGGGCGCACTGAAAAAAAATACCTAGTGCGTTATTTTTTTAAATGTTTTGACCGTTTTGCTATCAGCCAATGAAATTCTTCCACGCAAGTATATTGCACTCTGGCTTCGTTTCTTCTGGTTTCCTGAGAGGTTATTTGACTTCTTCAATGTGGTGAGTCGTTATTTGTCGACTTCTTTCTCCATCCCCTTTTCTTTCACTAATTTTATACCCTAGTTATTACTTTATATTTGAAGATAATATTTACCCTTTTCTTATTATTTTCGAAGGCCAGGTGAAGAATTTAAAAAAAAAAAGCAATTAAATTCAACAGGTAAAATATAAGTCTAATCTTGTTAGTCTTTATTCTAATTGAGAACTTAATTTATTCTAACGGTTAATTTTATTATTTAATTATATCAATGATTTATATGTTTTAAGAGGGATGAAAGAAACCCAGTTTCTAGTTTATTTGTTTATGCCTGTATTTATATATTATTTCTTGATAAATTACTTCTGCTTGGTATACTTTGGCTAAGTTCTTATTTAAATACAATGTTTATACGTAGATATTACTTTCTGGATCCAAGTTCCAATTTTTTGAAACGTTTGACTTTGTGATTTGTTTAGAGTTCTCGTAAACGTAGAGAGAACTGAATAACGGATTGTTTTATAGAGAATTTTAAAGAAAACATGCAAAAAAGAATATTGCATTTTTATTTGTTATTTTAACCATTAAATTGATTTTTAAAATAGTGGGGGTATTTTGTATGTTAAATAACAAAACTTTTAATTTTTCCGTCCAAATCAAAGAAAAATTATTGTACTTAGCTACGCACCCTAGTAAAAGCAACTGTTGTTTGTAGCCACTTACCTGTTTGCACTTCACCTCAAAATTTGATTTCGATCGGTCAATGTATTTTTTTTTTATAAATCATTTCAAGAAAAAGAGGATTGAGGAAAAGAATAATGAACGAGATTCAAGAAGATAGAAGTTGGTGATTGATGTTGCATTTAAATTTTTGAAGATTGTATTTATCAGGGAAGCAAATAAACGGAAGGAAGTTCCACATACGGGAAGTGCAAGAAAAGAAACTGTTAGAGTAGAAGTGACAGTTGCATTTAACTATTTAACTGTAAACAGGGTGGGACCATGATGCCAATCTAGTGGCACATTTAAAAGGGTGTGAAGGACGGACTAACAAAAATAACAGAATATAAAATTAAATTAAATTAATGAAATTATTAAACCGCGAAGTAGAGATTTAGTTAAAGTATTTTTGAAACAAATCAGCTTATTCAAATTTCATCGATTGGTTTGTGAAATTGAACGAAACGTCGAGTTTGTGACTCTCGACAGAATATGTTAGCGGTAAGTTCAACAATATCTGTCTATATCTCTAAGATGAGGTATTATGATTACTTACATAATTTACATTATTCGGACTATTATCCCCATCTTCATTGCCATATTCACAATGTTTCGGCCGTTGTACGTTCTAGCCTTCTTCAGATGATTGGAATTTCGAACCGAATCCATTATTTCGTTCACCAGGGTAGATTGTTCTAGTTCCACGTGCTATGCCTCTTCCGGATGTCTCGGTTATTTCTCTTTAACTCAACTCTCCAAGATTTGGTTCACCACTGTTGTAGCCAGGTATTGAACTCACAACTCTTTGGGTCAATCGCTGGATCCGATCAACGCCTTTATCCACTGGGCCATGTAGCCTTGTGTTCCAATCACCTGAAGAAGGCCGATGCGTACAATAGCCGGAACGTTGTGAATATGGCAATGAAGATCAGGATAGTAGTCCGAATAATGTAAATAATGTAATTAAGTTCAACAATACTAATTATAGTGAAGGTTTCAATACATTTGACACGTGTTGCAAAAAATTCTAGTGTAGATATAAGTTTAAAAACATAAAATTGCAAATACGTAAGCCTCA